TGAAAAGTAACATACGCTATTGTGGCTTTGCTTTCGGAAGGATGCTTGCCTACGTGTTTGGTGGGGACTACTTGTCCAAGTTGGCCACAGCGAACACAACTGTGATTGGCATAATGTCAAGTCTCATGTCATCTATGAAAGGTGTTCACAACGCCCCTTTCCGTCCTTCGTCATGGATGATCAGCTTCACGCTTCCGGACACCAGGCTTGCTGTCGATCCAACTCTGACGTACTGGAGTGCGCCCGACCGGTGCTGGGTTATTCTTCTCGGCTATGCCACTATCATATTCATCGCGGCTCTATATTTAAGAAGAGGGGCACCTTTCTCCACTGGACAGACAGCTCAGGAATGGGAGGCTTCCATTATCGACGGCTTGAATCAGGCGAGCGGTGTTATGAAAGTCATACTGATCATTAGTATCGAGATGCTGGTTTTCCCGTTATACTGCGGTCTGCTCTTAGACTTTGCCTTACTTCCGCTTTTCGAAAGCACAAGCTTCAAATCCCGTCTGTACTTCACATACAACTACCCACTCACCTCCATCTTCGTCCATTGGTTCGTTGGGACCGGTTACATGTTCCATTTTGCACTGTTTGTAAGCATGTGCCGGAAGATCATGCGCAAAGGAGTGCTCTGTGAGTGTGACTTCATTCAAATCTTATTTCTGGAACAACTGCTAACCCTTGCTTAGACTTCATCCGCGACCCTGACGATCCCGAATTCCACCCTGTACGTGACGTACTTGAACGTAATGTTACTACGCAGCTTCGTAAGATCTTGTTCTCGGCGTTCGTCTACGGAGCCCTCGTCGTCATCTGTCTCGGCGGAGTGGTTTGGGGTCTGTCTCTCACCCTTCCCCACGTTCTGCCTATCCACTACTCCTCCAACGAGCCAGTATTGGAATTCCCCATTGACCTCTTATTTTACAATTTTTTGATGCCCTTAGCTGTCAAGTTCTTCAAGCCTAGTGACGCATTGCATGCTATGTATACTTGGTGGTTCCGTAAGTGTGCCAGTGCTCTGCGCCTCACGTGGTTCTTGTTTGGCGAACGGCGGATTGAAGAGGAGGGCAAGTTGACAGCAGACCCGAAGCGTAATCTGGCCTGGTGGCGTACAATATTCCTCGAGGTTGATGAAAATATCGAGGTGGTGCCAAAGACATGGACCTCCTTCTTCGAGGGCGGCAAGGCTAAACCATCACCGAAAATTGGCAACAAGGAGATGGCCTTCATGAGCCGAAAGAAACGTCAACTAGTTGATTCAGGACAATTGGTCACAAGTGGTCGGTTTGTTCGCTCACCAGCTTCTGACCAGGTCAAGATTCCCAAGGGGCAGCCAGTATTTGTCGATGTCCCGGAAGAACGCCTAGTGCAAGAATGGCCCGCCGGCCCTACTGAGATGAACTTATATTCTGATGACCACTATCAAGCCGTCTATATCCCTCCCTGGTTTCGCCTGCGCATCTTTGTATTTATTTTCTCGATATGGATTTTCGCTGCAGCCACAGGTGTCAGCTTTACGATCTTGCCTCTGGTGTTTGGACGCCTCGTGTTCAAAGCCCTTATCCCTGCCCACATCCGCACCAACGACATCTACGCTTTCAGCATAGGAATCTACGTGCTAGGCTCCGTCTTTTATCTCGCGTTGCATCTCCATTCTGCCCTCGACCAGGTGAAGACGTGGATTTCCAGCACGATCGACTCACTCCTTGACCGCCATGCCTTTCAGCGCGCTCTCCACCTTGCGCATCGCGCCTGGAAACTGGTGTACACCTACACTATGCTACTGGTGGTGTTCCCCATCTTGATTACCGTATTGGTTGAGATCTACGTGCTTGTGCCGTTGCACACGTACATGTATCCCATCGGCACGCAAAGCCCCCTCAGGCTCCATGGCCTCCGCGAGGGTCACACGATCCGGGTTATACAAGCATGGACGTTGGGAGTGTTGTATTTAAAGCTTGGTTCGCGCGTCTTGACACTATACGGTGGACGTCCAGCGCAAGCCGTTCGAGCGGTGCTGAGGAGAGGATGGTTGGAACCAGATGTCGGCGTGCTAACCCGAGCATTCGTCGTTCCAGGCTTCATCGCGAGCGCCGTCATGATATTCACGCCGCCGGTCATAGCATGGGCCGTTCTGACCCACGGATACGGCGGCGAGGGAGAGATGCCCTATGAGATGAGGGTCTTCGCGTATCGCCTCGCTTACCCACTCACGGCCAGCTTTTGGTTGGCGGTGGTTTTGATGAGGAGGCTGCTGGGGGTGTTCGAGGCCTGTCAGGTCAGGATCAGGGATGAGGCGTATCTCATGGGTGAGAGGCTTCACAATTTCACGGGCGCCAAGGGTGGTCGGGGCTGGAAGGGGACCCGAAGAGTGTGATAATGATTAACTGTACTTGGTCTGGACTGACGCCGGTCGATTTGTGTATATACCCTTCCCTTACTTACTGAGCCCAAATTTATGAATGGCTGCCTGCTTGACCGCAATGCGACATGTCTTTAATCCAATTGTACATATAGTACTCCGTAGAGAGGGCTATGCCGTTTCTAACCCGCTCCACTATTTCTAAATTATACTGCTAAGTGCGTTCGTCTAACCTGTGGAGACCACGGTTAAACCGAAGGACAAGACCCCGGTTGTACGTTTGTTTTAGAGCATTCTGCATGTGTCTACCTTACTCTCCCCCACGGGGAAGCTCGGCGTACTGTATGTTGACTACATGTACTAGGTAATGCGTATACGCACGCCGGCTGCTCGATGCTTGAGTCTTCTGGCGTTTTATCAAGACTCTTATGGAAGGTTCATAACCGTCTCAACCGTGTAGATACACTTTCCATGCATTGCGTGTAAGTATGTGGCAAACTTTATGTCCTTCTAAGGCCGATCAAGGTCGAATAACCATTGATTCCAAGACCAGTCCTACCGGTCCTAGGGTTTTGTTCGTTACCAAGGGCTAATGTAAGAATCCAGCCTAGACAAGGGTTCGCCAGTCCGTTTGCTTACGCTATGACGCAAGCGTTCGTGCTTGAACACGATCAGAGTATATGTATGTGGCTACATCTGCTGGTTCTTTACTTGGTCTGTTGATGAAACTTCGTATGCATAGAGCTCGCTGAAGCAGTGTATGAATTTCTACTGAACCCAGTAGAACAATTTTTCTCTTCCTAGCTCATCCATCCACGAGACAGAGAAATGAGGACCAGACTCGCCACATCGGTGGCGCTCTTCGTTTCGCGCGCCCTGTCGCAGACCGACGCGCAGGCCTGGCCTCCCGCCGCAGTACAGAACAACACGTTCAACGGGACGTATCCAGAACTACCTTCTGCTTACCAAATCCTCTCGGGCGCTGGGGTGCCGCAGCAGCAAGCCGAAGCCGTTCTCGTAGCTCTCGAGTTTGAGCGCTCGAACTGGGCTGGGTCAAGCACGCGACTCGATCCTTTCTATCAAGATGTCCCTTCGCATGACGGACTCCCAGCGGGATCGGTACTAAAGGTGGAGAGTGTTACTAACGGGAGTCTTTACACCCTGCCCCCTGGCGTCAGTCTTTCGCGATTCCTATTCACAACGGAGACGCTCAACGGGACCGTTGTCCCGGCTTCCGCGTTCGTACTGTGGCCATACTTGGCCAAGAGCTTCGACGGTCTTACATCTTGCGGGAACAGTCCAAACGGGACGAGCGTGAAGAAGCCGATGCCGGTAATTGGATGGGGCCACGGGACGTCAGGCTGGTCTGGGGAGTGCGGTCCAAGCCATATCAGAAATCTGTGGTACCAGTTCTCTGCCCCGTATACTATGGCGCTGCAGGGTTATGCGGTTGTTGCACCAGATTTTGCGGGACTCGGTCTAGATCGTGACTTCGAGGGAAACTTCGTCGCGCATCAGTACGGCGCAAATCCGGCGAGTGGCGGGGATATACTCTTTGCTATCGAGGCGGCGCAGAAGGCCTGGTCAGAGAGATTGAGTCGGGAGTTTGTGGTTATGGGCCACTCGCAGGGTGGTGGTGCGGCTTGGGGCGCAGCGGAACAACTAGCGAAGAGACCGGTGGACGGATATCGAGGAACAGTTGCGGCGAGCCCGCTTACCAGTTTGCTGGACAATGCGAATTTTGCGCAGGAATACGCACCGACTGTTCTAGGAGAGGGACTGGCGAGGTTCTCAACAGCGATGAAGTCTGTGTTTCCTGAGTTTGAGAAAAGCGAGTGGCTGACCGAGGAGGGCGTTAATCTGACCGAGGCGAACCAGGAGCTCCAGGGTTGCCAGAGCGTCGCCTTGGAGTTGATCGCTGGGTTCAATCTGAGCCGGAGTGATTGGAGCGACACGTGGTATTTACCGGCGTTTGATGCTTTGACGAGGAGCGGCGGGAAGGAATTCGCTGGGCCGATGCTTGTGTTGCAGGGCGTAGCGGACAACGCTGTGCCCGAGGTGCTTGTGAGTGCGACTGTGAATGAGACTTGTGAAGCTGTTCCCGAAGCACAGCTTGAGTTTGCGCTGCTTGATGGCGTGGGACATGTCCCGGTATGTCTGTCTTTCTTTTCTCTTTTGCTCCCCATGCTTCTGTCACGACACGAGATTTGTGTGTGGTTTGACTAACAAGAAGGTATTTCTTCAACTCAGGTTCTTTATGCTGGACAACAAGTCTGGCTCGATTGGATCGCTGATCGATTCAAGGGGGCTGAAGTTACGAGGGGCTGCAAACAGACGCTGCATGAGCCGCAGCTGGAGACGAGTGTCTTCCAAGGCGATTTTCAGTTTACGTTGCAATATGTTGAGTATGCATATGAGACGGCATAGTTGAACTACATTCCTGTGATTAGGATAACACATTACATATACCAAGCCCAGTATGCGCAGATGATATTTGAGGGCTGCTCCCGGTTTCGAAAGGCGGTGTCATACGGTCAATGCATGTTGATGGTTGGGTGAAGTGACTCGAGTGTGATGATGCTAGTGATCGTTCGGCTATAGGTCCTGCTAGGCTCTCCACCCCCAATCAGTAAATGGCTCTATGGTCTAGAGGTATGATTCCTGCTTTGGGCCCGCTCACTGGATGTTCAATTGCAGGAGGCCCCGGGTTCGAATCCCGGTGGAGCCCTATTTGCGTCAAATTCATTTCTTTTGCATTCTTAAGCCAAAGACTCTCAACACCATCCATTTGGCGTAAACCTCGAGAAATGCTTTGTGAAGTTTTTACGTAAGAGAAGGAGAAATGAGAATGAAAATATAAATGAAATGTCCCACCGTGATACTGGTCTGGAATATTAGACTCAACGCGAATCGAACTCGGCATGATGCGCATGTGGTCACTGGCGGTACGCTGTGAAACGCTTTGTTTGCGGCGGTCCTTGCCAGAAAGCGGTCATTGCACACCTGAATGTGGTCTGGCACAAGTCGCTCGGTCCAGGACCGCCAGCAGAAGCCAGCTCGACCCCTACTCGCGCCTGGCCCATCACTAGTAGTACGGTTAAGCATTGAACTATTAGTAAGTAGTGGGCCTCCACCTAAGCGAGAGCCGACGCGCAGATTCGTGGTGTAGTAACAACTCAGCGATAGGTACAGGAAGAAAATTCTATTACCGCCCTCTTAGTGAATTAGGAGCTTAGATTTTCGGCTAGCGGCAATAAACTCTTATTGAAACTCATGACCTCTATGACAGGTTGTCGCTCCTAGTGCAAATAAGTTGATCTAGGTGGGCGATCTCAATGCCCATGCTCATACCACTACCTACTGTAAATGCCATAGAACGTGGCTGTGTAACATCCGGAAACGTTAATCATTGGCGTCGACTCTTATCCTGTAAGCCATGAATACGTCCCTTTCGCATGCCACTGTTGGGCTACGGAGACCGCAACGGCTACCCTATCTACGAAGTCACATAGGCGTACAGAGGCCTCGTGGCTTCAGAGCAGGGATGTAAGCAAGTCAGGGATAGGTTCGACTTCTCATGTTCGAAGAGAACGAGCTTGCCTTACATAGCTCTCTCAGAAGCTCCCGTGGAGGGGACGAAGTTAACCCCCGGCAATGTGACTGTTCGCACAGATGGGTAATTAATCAAGCAAGATCCGGTGGGAATGACTTATTCTGGAGAGCTTACCACCATTCTGCCATACATATCGAGCTGTAAGAGGCCTTTTCGTTCCCGGATTCTCGTTCCGATCCGCTTTCAAGCTACTTTAAGCGATTGTCCACTTCCAGCTCCCAGCGTCAGTCAGACTCGCGATCCTTTGAGCGGCGACACTTCTTCCGGGGCTTGCTTTTGCCTGCGGGTGGGATTCCATGGCCACATTTTGGTCTGACTGATTTTCGCTTCCGTGTGTTATTCTCGGTCTACAATCCGATACTATTCACCTGTCCACTCTGAGCGGCTGCCCCGACGTGCCCACACTCTACACCTATGTCTCCCACCGGCTGTGCGAAACTATAAAAGTCTACTCCCATTGCCAAGATGACCTAGAACACCAGCACTATGTCAGACATGTAAGCGCGTGCTTTCTGGGTGCTGCGGTACGAAGTAATTGAGATGGGTCAGATAGCTTACCCTGATAGCTTTCATGATAACAACAGGAGACACCATGTAGACCAAAGTGATTGCAGCTGGAAGACTGTCGATAAAGGGGTTGATAAGAAAGAATTCATGACCTGGTTTTCAACCGCTCTGAAGTCACTATCATATGGCGGTTGAGGCCTTGCGCTTATATTTTAACGATACAACTGATGCTGGCGGCTGTTATGTTCGTTTCCAGAGGTCATATCATGTGTATAGTGTGATCTCCATCGTGGGTAGGCCTACTCGACAGCATAGAGGAGGGCGATGTAACCTGCGGTGGTCATTCTCATACTTCTGCACGATCGCAAATCCGTCACAGAAACTTCATATTACAGCCTCTTCCAACCGCCAAACGTCACGGACGTGCCGTGAAACAACCAGTCCTACACAGGCCCACCAAACTGTCTTACAGAACGGACAGTGCCCAGCTAGTATCATCATCCCCTCTGAATGTCTCGACCACACAGCTTGCTAAAACACAGCTGGTGGTGGTCCTGGTGAACTTCCATTTCACGATGTGATGCACTCGGGATCTGCAATATATTTGTTGAAAGTAAAGTTTCGCATCCTGTCACATGCGCGTAGATACCAGTACTGATATCAGAAATCTCTGGAAGTTGGGACTTGATAGCTGTCATTCCTCCTAGAGGCCGGCACATTGTCCCAACGCACTGTTTATCTCATTCTCTTTTGCTAAGTATTTCGACCTAAGTGCATCGGCTAGCATCTTTATCTTGGCAGCACTGCTGCGATGAAGCTGCACGGTGCATTCTCGACGGGCTTTGCTACGCTAGTGACTATCGAGGGTATAATCTCGACGGATTGGAAGTAGAGGATGCAGATGCGAACGGCAGATGGTACGACGCACTATTCTGGAAAGACGTGTACTACATGAATCAACCGCCAAGACTCGAGGGCAAATGTGAGCCTTTACGAAGATGACTCATTATGTGATCCTCCTTTTTGTCTTCCAGGCATCACTCAAGAAGTTGCACAGATTGCTCGATTTTACCCCAAAGCCTCTGTGTGATCCAAACCTCTATACGAAGAAATACAGAGGCTTTAACAAGAACCATCCTTGTAGCCTGCGTACACCGCGTGGGGATGGCGATTAAACATCGCGTCCTCACAGATATCAAGAGTGAACAGCCCCGACCAACAACTGAAGGAGATGATACGCAATGACGGCCGCGAGTAGCCTACATCATACTTGCATGCGTCAGTAACTGTAGAGTATTCAGCTATATATTCTAGTATGGAAGGGAGACTCACAATCCCACCATACCCAGGACTACTATTCCCCGCCGGCGCACCACTTGTCGCGGTAGCATCAAGCGACGAGATAAGCAACGTCATGCTCACGGTGACCGGCGGCATCGTAATCAAAATGCTTGTGCTTGTGAGCCTCATAGTCTGCGTCGTCGACGAGATGAGCTGGTCGTCTGCTTGGGTTCCCCGACCATCAGTATTCAAGTTGATGGTCGCTGCAGTGAAAGGGTGATCGAATGGCGGGGATGTGTGCGCGACATCATGCAGTTTAAAATCACAAGTTATTGCTAACATGTCGCTCGCCGCTGGGGCCTCGACATTGTCACTGACTGCTGCCTGCTCGTTTACTGTGCAGTGCGGCAGAGTTGCGATTGGGAAGTGCTGCAGTTTCTGACGACACTTCACCTTAACCTGCTGTCAGATAGGTCCTTGAGGTAGTATGCATCGCACAAGGGAACTTGCGCAGCGTATTTTTGTTGAAGCGACGAAGAGATTTGATCTTGTGCTTAGTACATCCAAGTTAGTTCCCCGGCTATTGGCGAGTATGAGGACACGACATGATGAAGCTAAGAAAAAAAATATCCGGTTCGTCGCGTCGGTCTTGAGCCGTATTACCGCCAGTGCTTGATCGTCAAAGAGTCGGGTAACTGACCACGAACAAACGTAAGCAATCGAGGTGCACTGTCTCTGGTTGATCACCCGACTGACAGACTATTTTCCGAGCTCAGCCTCCTATAGCGCCTTGGGATGACATAAAACCGGTGTTGGTTACATCGCCCATAACACAGAAACTCCATCGTCCATCCTAAAAGTGCACCTTGTCCATATCCCGCGCCAAAATGCCCATTTCTCTGTTCCTGACTGATGAGTCGGGCCGTTCACTTATTCCGCCTGGTTCCACAGCACCAGGCAAAAAGAATTGCCCAGACTGGCGGATATCACGAATTTCTGGGGCATCGGCCTCTGACCAACCAAGACCAGCGACCTCGATTAGACGTCTGCTGCCTTCTTCCTCCGTAATCTCGCCGAGTGGTAATCGCACCTCTGCACCTTCCAGAGTGTCGGCGATGTCATTGAAAAGTACATCCATCGGACAGATGTATGCTACTTGCTTGCGCTCGCTCCACGCTAATATATGTCCACATAGACGGCCTTGAAGACTATCAATGATCCACGCGCCCGAGTCGCCAGGTATGCCGAGAGACACTCCTCGCCGAGTCTGATCCGGAAGTGTAGAGTTGGGACGAAGGCCTGGTATGCGTCCGCTCACTTGATACGAGTGACTTGGAGATGCTCGCCCATACATCTTGACGGATGTGATCGCAGGCAAGATTCGTCCGACCTATGATAGTCAGCGGGGACAGAGCAGGGAGGAGACCAAACCGATGTATCTTACTTGCAAGCCACTTGTCCGTGCTAGACACTGCACGTCCAGCCCTGGCAGCGATTTAGTTGGGGCAATCTCGACTGGCTGTAAGCTCTTTGACATGGCAGCATGCCGGCTATCGCTGGCCGTCCATTGGGGAAAGAGGTTCTCATCGGGCATTCGGTGATCCTGGAATTCGAATAGAGCCCAATCGATCTCGTGCACAAGCCCATCTTGATTGCGTCTTCGAATGCCAGAAGAGGCGTACACTTCGCCAACGCTGCAGGTATCGATATGATCCTTATTTGCATAAGCAGAGTGATAGCCAGAATGCCAAATTTAGCGCTGATGGATTTGCAGCCCGAAACTCACCTCGTTTTCTGTGTCAGACGAAGGATAGAATCCATCTGGGACATCATCAAGTGCGGGTTGGGTGATGATATAGCCTTCAAGTAGATATTAGCAATTCATCTCAGTGAACGGGCTGCAGTAAATCACCTCCACTCTGCCAAGATCATGGTCGTTGTGACTGGGCTGCAACAAGAAGTGATGATGGCAACGTGCCTTACATACCGTCTCCACAACCTGGTTCAATGCCAGGTATGTCACCTGGTTCGTTAAACTGTTCATACTCGTCATCGTCATCATCTTCTTCGTCGCTTGTGATGTCCGTGACGGAGTACTCCGATTCGGTGTCTGTCAATTCGCAAGCAAAGTCATCGCTGCTACTGACAGATGATGTCTCTCCCTCCGACAAGAAGGAAAGATCTCCACCGGCGGCACTACTTCGGTATGTTGGGGCGCTGGCGCGTTCAGCATCAGGCGATTGTGGCTCAAAGTCACCAGGCGCAATGGGACGGTCTGGATCATCGAGCATATGATGCACAGTCATACCGTACAGCTTATCGTCGAC